AGGAATTCTGGGAGTTGAAGTTCACACATCTTAAAGTTGTCAAACACAGTTCTAGCCCATCCACCCGTCTGCCCATATCTCATGCCCAAAGTATGTGAGTTTGCTTTGCTGATGATCAACCCAAGTCAGCTTTGGTTTGGTCCAGGTCTAACTAACTGGCTTTTTTGGAGTCCATGATGCTCAGATGATCTCCAAACCTTTCCTTCAAAGGTGTCTTATCTTCATTCTTTTGAGGAGTTCAAACTTAAGTTTCCAAGTTTCACAAACTTACCTTACATGAAAGACCATTGCTTTAATAATTCTGATCCTCGTCACTGAAATGACCTCATCCTTCATGATCTGGTCAAAATCTGCCAATGTCTTCCTCCTTAGGATTCATCTCCTCATTGATTCTCCCCCACATTGTCCATCTTTATTCTGCAGCCAAAGAAAATAACTTTTCCCCTACCTTCATTTCTTTCTTATCTGTGAATATATTAAGCATGCTGGCTGGCATTGTCTTATTAGTTAATATTAATGCTAATCAATATGAATATAAATGCTAATAATGTTCTTCATTTTACCTTTATAATGATATGTTATTGTTATTGTTATTATTTTCAGCTCACAGAGGGGTGCCATCAACTTACTTTAAATAGTTAGTCCTTCAAACCCTAATTTTGATTCCAGCTCTTGATTTCATCCCTTTTAGTCCTGTGGTTCTTGCGATATATGTGCAGTAAAAGCTGCACAAGATCTCCAAATCTCCAGCAGCAGATGACGGCAAACACAGCTGGACTGTCCTATTCAGAATTGCAATTTATTTTGTCTCTGCAGGGATGAAGGAAAGCCCCAAAGGAACAGTGGTTCCTCTTTGTAACGATTTGCTGCCATCTGATGGTCACTAACATTTCACCAAGCTGGGGACTGGGTGGTTATGACTCTGGATGATGGATTGTTTTTTATTATTTATGTTAGTTTCCACTTCTGTATGATTATAATATATATATATATTGTTTGATTTGATAGTTTCTTTTCCTCCTAATTACATGTTAGGAAGTGTACGTTGCTAAGAGTTCTCTAAGTGGAACGGTCAGAAGCCCTGGAAACAGACAGATACTGATTTCTATCTACTGAAGAAGGTATATGCAAACACATCAGTATTCTGCCCAGGGGATTAGATGGCCATTTCCAACCAGGATGATGTCAACATGACACTGGAGAATGAGGCCCCCTAGGTCAGAAGATATCCAGTCAGCTGATGAGAAAAATGTGTCCATACCTACAGAGATCAGATTCCTGCAGGTAATACTTTTCCCACTGACATTGTATGGAAGCTGAGTTGGAATTTGAAGAAGGTGGATAGGAAGAGTATTGATGCTTTTGAACTTTGGTGTTGGAGAAGACTGGCTGGGGAATTCTGGGAGTTGAAGACATGGCTGGCTGGGGAATTCTGGGAGTTGAAGTCCACACATCTTAAAGTTGCCAAGGTTGAGAAACCCTGCTCCAGAGAATACCGTGGACAGCCAAGACGACAAACCATGGATCACTGAACAAATCAACGCAGAGTTCTCACTTGAGGCACAAGGACCAGGCTCAAATTACCCTACTTTGGTTACCTTATGCAAAGACCCAACTCTCTAGAGAAGCTCTAATGCTGGGAAAGACCTGTTGTGCTCTAGAGTTGGGGCTAGATTACAGCAAAAAAGACCGCCAGCTGCTGATCTTTAGAAAGTCATAGCGTTTAAAGAAACCATTTAAAAAAAAAAAAGGAAAAAAGTTTTTATATCTCCAGAGATTCATAGAACACATCCGTCGTTTTTTTAAAAAACTATGTTAAGACCTGAACTTTCTTAACTATGTGGCTTTCTTTACCTGTGAAAATAACTACAGCAAATCCTTTGGATAGCAGCTCTCTGCATGATCATTAACACCCTTCGCTGTTGTACTGCAGGTTCTTAAAGAAAAAGACAATGATGATTGAAGGTGTAAGGTTTTTCTAGCCCAGAATCTATAAGTTCAGATGAGACTCTAGACCGAGGTATTTCCAAAGAAAGTTCAGCTTTTATTGTTGGCCAAGAGAAAAGCGGGGTGAACCACTCTCTGTCCGGCTGGCAGAGAAAAGACAGAGAACAGCCACACCCAGAACAGTTTACAACAGCTTTTATACCTTTTTTGTCATCAGGAAGCATCTAGGAGGAGGGTCACACATGCACACACCCGTGTGCCTGCCTTCTAGGGTTGTCAAAACATTAGCTTAAGCAGTATAAACCAATAGTCAAGTTTCTAGCCCTCACTTGCTACCGGGGTTTTTCATAAAAGGCTTTGCAATCTAGCTTGCCCCAAATCGTGCAAAGGATCTGGTTGCATAGTGTGGTTAGAAGCAAGAGCAGGTGCAAAAGTTCATGCATGCTCAGGAAATGCGTACAAGCAAAACATTTGGCCTTTAGCTTAACCATATCTTTCCATTTCCTTTTGTACCTCTGCAAAATGTTAAAAATGTCCCTTTAGAATCAGCAGAAGCGTGAGATACAGAAGCAAAATAAGCAG